GTTTCTCAATTTACGAATGGATCAGAGAAAGAAGAAACTTACAAAACTGGCTCAGCAACAACCGAACAATCAGTGTTATCCGATTTAGTGGATATCTCCAAGTAGCTGCTAAAATCGGAGTCCCGGATTAAGCCGCACATTTCGATTACAGTGCCAACCTTATAATATGAAGGCAAAGCACCGGTTGGCTCAATCAGATTCGAAAGATCCTGGCCATCTATCATAACGTCACCAACCAGATAACATGATTGGCAATCCTGCAAAACAGATGATATTCAGCTTGAAGACTTCACTGAATAAGACTCACCGCAGATCCTGTTACCCACACAACTAAAAGAGGAATTCAATCGGCCAAGAGGCAACCTTTTCTCCTTCTTTCTTGCATTCCCTCCTTTTCCTTCTCTTCCCTGAACACAACGACCGTCATACTGACAGGTCCAGTCGTGGTGTTGAGCTAAGACGTATATGATTTATTGGACTGAAACGTCTTAGCTCAGTTGTTTTTCCCTACTATTTTTCTGCTGCTTATAAACCTTCCTTACTTTGGCACCCTAGATCAACCTGTATGCTACAATCGGCTTATTAATGTTTGCACAATAAATAATTCGTATCTAAGAACTTTTGTCTGCCTCGAGATAGTATTCCGTCAGTTGGATTAGAAAAGTGTGATGTACCTTCCTTTTCCTTTTTCCCCTTTATTTCATTCCTTCTTATTACAACTTTCTATTATGCTAATAAATAGCAGAAAACTCATTTACGTGCTTTTCATGCGCCACACAATTCCGATGTTCGCAGAGCACATTAAAAAAAGCGAAGGAACGAGAAAACTTACATATGAAGGCTTCGATATTTTGATTTTGTGTTGGGCACAGCTGCGCATCAACTCCCAGAACATGTTACTCCTGTAACAGACAGTGGAAATACTTGTGCTTCTGTGGGTAATACTATGTATGATATGAGCACTGCCAAGCGAAATCCTCTAGCTTATCTGCTCAACGAGCTCATTTTGGCTTTTAAATCACTGTTCAGATGCGGTATTCCCAAACAAACATCTAATTCCCAGTGTCACCCCTATAAGACAACCAATCTCCCTAAGAATCGTTCATTGGTTTTGATGGTAAGCAGGCTGCAGCAACAGGTTGACTCTAGAAGCCCAAATAGCGAAAGCGCGATAGATTACAGCATGAAAGAACAGTATCAAATAAATAGCGACGTGCACCAGACTAGCAGGTGCGACCATGTGTTTTATGCGATTCAGTCCATCGAACGATTGCCTGTTAATGATTTTCACTGCTTTGTACTTTAGTCTATGCAAAAATGGTTCAAGCATTGAAAAAAGTTCCTGTTAATGATTTTCACTGCTTCGTACTTCAGTCTATGCAAAAATAGTTCAAACATTGGAAAACATTTAAAAATTTCACGCACCTGCGCATGAAAGCTGAATTCGAAATCTTGAAGGATGAATATCTTTCCGTGATTCCCGAGTTAATAGTTTACCCACCAAAATTTTCCCTAGCCCGCAGGTAGTACCCGAGAGCGCTAGAACACTGAAAACTTACCCGTGACTTACCCATGGGAAACTTTCACGGGGCCGTACGTATTACCCGCGGGTAACGGAAGGCTGAATTCGAATGGGCAAGGTTGAGCATGGGCAGTGGGTCATTACCCTAAAATTTCAGCCTCCTAGACTCCGTGGTCCGGGCAAGGTTGAGCGTGGGCAGAGGGTCATTACCCTAAAATTTCAGCCTCCTAGACTCCGTGGTTCTCGAGACATTAACTTACCCGTAAAAAACTTTCACGGGGCCGTGAGTGTTACCCGCGGGTACGGAGAAGCTGAATTTAAATTTGCAGGGTCACACGTGGGTAGGAAACGCTCCCCTAAATTTCCAGCTTCCTAGTTTTTGTGGTCCCCAAGTTGAAAGTTGCGGACACAAACACACACAGACAACCTCGTGACAATATGCGCTTTGTACTGCTGTTACACAGCACAAAACGCATAAAAAGAAGAGTAAGATAAGACATTTCGGTCCATTAAGTCATATAAACCTTAGCTCAACACCGCGCGACAGCAGGATCTCGTCAGTATGACGGTAGCAGTGCTCAGTGGAAAAGGAAGAGAAAAGAGAAAGAAGGAATAAAAGAAAGGGGAACGATAAACTGATAATGGCAAATGCTAGGAGGTCAAACTCGCAGCCATTAGCTTGCTTCTAAACAATCTTTACAAGGGGGATCATTCTAACAGCTTAATTGTCCTTTCCGCATTTACAGCGCTATGCCATCATTGTTTCACAGCTCCTTAAGTGCCTGTAAAAGAATAAACGGCGACGAAGGAAAATCCAGTTATTACAGCAAAGCGATCGCATAACGGGAACAACTACAGAATATGCTGGATGGTTCTTTGGATTTTGGTCAGATTAGCTACAGGAGGCAAAGATCAAGCCGGGCCAAGTAGCACTGAATCATTCGCGCTTTCGACCAAGTTACTTGAGACAACGAGATAAGACAAGTTATTTAAGAGACTGATGTACCTATAAGGTACATCTGTCAGTTCAACATACGTAATGGAGGAGGTAATGTCTTATAAGATGCATTACCAACTTTAACTTTTTTATTTTAACTTTCCTTCTCCATTTTTTTTTAGCACACGGCAGCTACTTTCGCTGCAACCGTCACACTGACGAGTTGCAGTTGCG